GCTAACCTGATTCTGATATTTTATAGACCACATTGACCCATGGCGTTGGATCATTCAGCCCGGATATAAAATGAGGCTTCTCTCTGTACGTGGCTCCGTGAGTGACGCTTAAACCGAGCTCAGTGTTGGTGAACCCGATTATCCCGGGATCTGAGAAACTCATATCTCCATCCTTGTACGTAAATACTGCATAAGACGTGATGAAATCCGTGACCAGTATTCCCTGGAAGGTGTTAGTCTGAGGGGAAATTATTATTTTACAGAATTAGCATAATCCTTTATCATACATGTATATATACTTACAAAGTCGAAACCCGGTTGTTTGAAGTCTATCCATGAAGTAACAAGAACCCATTTGCTACTGAAGCTCGTGTTTTCGTGTTTATTAATGATGGAATCCATAAGAGACAGAATCGGTTGGGAGTTATTTCCTTCGTGTACCTCATAAGTGATTGTGCCACTGTGTGGATCATTAGCACTCTGGAATGGGGCCACTGCTTTTGTATGCTCGTCCATTGAAGTTATGTTGTGTGTAAATACGAAGGAACCATTGTTCAAAACCTGTAAACAAAATCAATATATGAAACTAACAGCCATCAGCAGTGGCGAAATCATGCATAAACTCTGGATTCAAGGGATTTCCCAAAAGGAAAAGAAACATCGATTGGTTGGTGATCGGTATGAACAGAATGTGTTTCAACCCCAGGTGAGACTCCAAAATCAATGTAAGGCAAGGTCAGCTGAACTGAAAGAGAGATAAAGCAGTAAAGCAGGCAATGAACATTGGAACAAACTCAACACCATTTTCAGGTAAGCATCCAATGAGTTCTGCATCCTCACAGCAGTCACGAAATTTGTGGCAGAGAGCATCGCAGAAACAGCGGAACAAGTGAAACATAGCAGATACACAGTTGCCGTTAGTGCAGCACTCGGTGAATCCAGCCTCAACACAAGTAATAGGTTCATATTCTGGAGTGAACCCTGTGCCCTCTTTTATCTTGAGAGGAGAATTGCATTCCTTGACTGGTAGACTTGCATCATAGCAGTAGCCATTACGCTGGGTGTAGCCTGGAGGACACTCATTGATACACTCCAGAGTGTAGGCATTGCGGAGGTTGACACATGAGTCACAGAAGTTGGAGCCCTCTCTAGCACACCCTCTTCTGCAGTCAGAGTGACACTGGTCAGGAATGTTTGCCACTGCCTCTGGCACTTGGGACACTCCGTAGAACTCAAACTCCACCTTACTAACATTGACAACACCATCAAGGAAATAGTATATGTTAGTTATGTTGAGGGTCCACTGTCCAGCAGGATCTTCTCCCCAGAACATAACTGACATAAAAGGCCAGTCGGAGTAGCTTTTTTCCCCGGGTAGGTGATCATATGTTTGTCGTGGTTGAAGGAGAACTGATAGTGTTCCAGACGGTGACATGAGCTCAATCTCTAAATCTCCTCTGTCGTGGTTGCGTGAGACAGTGACAGAAATGCAGACCACTACGTGTTCAAGGTACTGGATGTGTCCAGTGTAGTTCACTGTTCCTGAGTATGCCACATTCAGAATTTGTTGCCTGTGGTAAATTTAGAACAACTAAACACTCCATAGATGAGACAAGGATAAAAGCAACACAAAAATGTTTACCTGGATACACTAATAATGTTATCTTTCATCTGAGGAGGTACATTGACCCAGTGTCTAGCTCTGGTGACCATGGCCTCAGCATCCATCACTCCAAACCCATACTGACGACTCACTGCCAGACCAGCTCCATTCCGTGTCAGAGGACCAGTAGTCAGATCAGGATTAGCTGTGTACACTATCAGGTACTGGACATCTCTCCATGTCAGACTTGGGCTGAAATGGACCAATGAATAATAACATCATAAAGTCAAGACAAACCAACAGACAAATTCTTGGAAATGGCAAGACAACCAACAGTCTTGATAAAGCTTTGAAGTTTATACAACAAATATACTCTTCCTCTCATGTCAAAGCTGTACCAGATGTGCAAAGTAAACCAAGCAAAGGTTAGTTTCTGCTCCAAAACACACAACAGCCATAATAATAGAGGAGCTAAGCTGTCAAAAAAGTGTGCATCGTTATAATATTTGTATAAACACTCTAGTGAAATACAAAAAAAGCTATAGCTAATAGCTTTAGCCTCCTTAAACCCTCTTCCTATGGAACATACTCCTGTATGCACCATGGGTTTGCATTATTATGGCGTACTTTGCCTCAAGGGCTAGAGCAATGGCTCCAGACACCTGGGGAGCTGCTGCACTGGTTCCACCAAAATCATCTCTACACTTTCCACCTGGACTTGTTGTTCTCTGTAATGGGTATAAGAATTGATCAAAAAATCATATTGAAAACATATAGCACCCTACAATTGCAGGACGTTTCTCTGGAGCGGTCACATAAGCCACTACCATTTTTCCCGAACATCTCTCATCAAAAAAACTATAGACACCGTTAACTCCAATAGCTCCAACAGCAATGGTGTATATACTGGACACGTAGCCATCAGCAGCACAGTCATCTTCATCTCTTCCGTTACCACTGGCCCACACAAATATGGACCCTTTTCCATTACGTCCCTGCAAAATTTGTTATTGCAAAACTGCTCAACATTACTGTGACCTTACTTTAGCTGTTCCTTCCTCTAGGGCAAGTTTGGTGAGAGTCCTGGGCCCCATGACAGTATTTCCTGCGTCGGAAGGTCCCCAAACATTGGTGTAGACATCTACAACATTCTGTTCATGTGATAGAGCAGTGGCCTCTTCCACGTCAGTCCTGCCTTCATTACCATTTAGAAGATTAACACCTTAAAACATATGCAATTATTATCTGTGATCAAACGTTGATGCCAGAATACCAAATTTGACATACACACTTACTTCCAAGATTGCACTCATACGCAATTCCGATGCCACATGTGGAATTTTTTGCTGCCCCAACTATTCCACTAACACGAGTTCCATGTTCATGACCGTAGGTTGAAGGATCCGAATCGTTATCATGATGGTCATAGGACACCATAGGAGCCTGGAGATCAAAGTGCAAATCATTCAAGTTGTATTCGTTGGTATGTAACTTACAAAATTCGGCCATAGAGCAGGATGCCTAAAGTCAATACCTGCAATACACATACTATTATTGTAACTGTAAATAAAATGCATTACCATCATCCACAACGGTTACTGTAACATTGCATCCAGTATATCCCTGCAGCCAGGCAGGCACCACTCTTGAATCATTTCCTTTGTACCTATCCCCATACTGCCCAGTGTTTAACTGCAATGAACAGGTATTGCATTCTCAATATGCGGTTTGTGCCCGGTAAAATTTTACCAAGTTCCACTGTTTCATTAAAATGGAGTCCTCAGGAGGAACATAAGATTTGGTGACAACTTGCCGACGAAACTGCTGTTCAGCAAACTCAACCTGAGCACCATAACAATAGGAACTCTAAACCTGCTAAGCTACATGCATTGCACTTACAAGTTTGTCCGATGCAATACTGGAGGTGTATGGAGAGTCAGACCTAACTCTTTGCATCTCTCGCCCACCTAGCCTGAACTGATACACGTCATCGAATCCTTGAACCTGTAAAGTAAGGTGTAGCCATCCATATATATAGCTCAGAGAACGACACGGTTGTTCCCTCACTAAACCAAGATTGTGGAATCCGTAACGACGAGCTACAGCATCTGCATCATCCGGTCCACCGTGAATCTTTACTGCCCAGCTGTTGATAAAAACGTCAGGAGCAGAACCATCCCTTCCTTGTTGGCTGTTGCTCGTTTGTTGGAGGTTCTGTGTGCTAGCTCCAATGAGAGCTACAAAGAGAGGTAGACTGCTAGCACTAACACGAGTTCCATGTTCATGACCGTAGGTTGAAGGATCCGAATCGTTATCATGATGGTCATAGGACACCATAGGAGCCTGGAGATCAAAGTGCAAATCATTCAAGTTGTATTCGTTGGTATGTAACTTACAAAATTCGGCCATAGAGCAGGATGCCTAAAGTCAATACCTGCAATACACATACTATTATTGTAACTGTAAATAAAATGCATTACCATCGTCCACAACGGTTACTGTAACATTGCATCCAGTATATCCCTGCAGCCAGGCAGGCACCACTCTTGAATCATTTCCTTTGTACCTATCCCCATACTGCCCAGTGTTTAACTGCAATGAACAGGTATTGCATTCTCAATATGCGGTTTGTGCCCGGTAAAATTTTACCAAGTTCCACTGTTTCATTAAAATGGAGTCCTCAGGAGGAATATAAGATTTGGTGACAACTTGCCGACGAAACTGCTGTTCAGCAAACTCAACCTGAGCACCATAACAATAGGAACTCTAAACCAGCTAAGCTACATGCATTGCACTTACAAGTTTGTCCGATGCAATACTGGAGGTGTATGGAGAGTCAGACCTAACTCTTTGCATCTCTCGCCCACCTAGCCTGAACTGATACACGTCATCGAATCCTTGAACCTGTAAAGTAAGGTGTAGCCATCCATATATATAGCTCAGAGAACGACACGGTTGTTCCCTCACTAAACCAAGATTGTGGAATCCGTAACGACGAGCTACAGCATCTGCATCATCCGGTCCACCGTGAATCTTTACTGCCCAGCTGTTGATAAAAACGTCAGGAGCAGAACCATCCCTTCCTTGTTGGCTGTTGCTCGTTTGTTGGAGGTTCTGTGTGCTAGCTCCAATGAGAGCTACAAAGAGAGGTAGACTGCTAGCGATAGTTGCGCTTCGTGGTCGCACCATGTTTAGCTGTTGCTAGAGCTCAAGCATGGGCCAGCAAAAAAGTGCAAATCGGATCGATCCCCACCGACGCAAAGTTGGGCAATGTTCGCGCATATGCACTTTGTCATTTGACGTGTTTTGTTTTGGCGAGCGAGTGCGAGCAGGTCCCCACGTGTTTTGCGAATCACGTTTAAATGCAACTTTGAAACTGTGCCTATAAAGTAGCTTTTATACCCAAACATTATTGACAGCTCATTATTTTTTCGGATGAGATTATGATTATAGGCAACTTGCTACTGATTCCATACCAAAGTAAAGCTATTATGAGGGGGTGTTTTGTTGGCAATGTTTCCTCACCAGTACCTTAACTGATATACTTATATACTAACTTGCAAGGTTGCAATCATGACGTGCAATTCCAACTCCGCATGTTACACCATCTTTTGCTGCCCCCACTACTCCGCTGCATTGTGTTCCATGGGAATATTGTTTCGTCGTGGTTATACTGGTAGGATACTGTAGGAGCCTGTTGCAATTAAACAAATGCGCTCTATATACTCATATAGGAACAAGCTGTTCATCGTGGGGCAGACCTTTGTGCACAAAAGCATGCGCGATGTGGTTTCGGTCCAAAAACAAATTCAAACTAAACTACCACCATTACATTTACGGTGGTAGTAGCCAGTAGCTAATGTACTAATCGGTCGGTTCAAACCATGGCAGTGATGCCATTCGACCTGCTCTTTTAAACAGACTCCAAGATAAGTTTGAAAGAAAGCCCAAAATGATGGTGTAACTTGCGGAGTATGCAAAAAAAACAGTCAGCAACCATAAAAAGGCCATACAATGTGGACACAATAACATATCCCTTGGTTATTCTTGTTTTTTAAACATCTCAGTCTACACCTCTTGGGGGACTGCATGTCTCGACAACTTGGTAACAAGGTAGAAAGGCAACGCAAGGCAAACAAGTCAACTACACCCAGGACAGCTCTGAAAAGAAGAAGAGCTGCCCTGGGTGGGATTCGAACCCACGACACTCTGCAGTTTAGGCGAGCACTCTACCAACATTATTGACATTGACATTGTTTATACTTAATGTGCATGCTTGTAGTGAGTCAATCCAAACGCTGAAAGAGGAACTGATTGGTTTGTGGATAGCTATGTCATGTGGAAAAAATTCATATCCATTTACCAGTAGCTATAATAGCACCAGAATCACTTTTAAATTTCTGTGACGTCAATTTACCAAGTTCCACTGTTGAACAAAAAGAGGGTCTTCAGGAAACTTAGTAACATGCTTAGTTCGTGTTTGCTGTTCAGCAAATTCAACCTATTTCATAAAAAGAATAACACTACACATTCACATTGTTTTTGTACTTACTTCTTCATCATCTTCAATTGTTAAAGTGTCAGATGTTACTTTCCGAAAGTAGTATATTATATCAGAAAACCCTGCAACCTGCCGGAAATAGTGAAAATGAAGCTTCAGAGACAGCACTGACCAAGCCAAGGTTATAGAATCCATATCTGTTGGCTACTCTCTCTGCAGCACTCTCTCCTCCTGTAATCTTTACAGCCCAACTGTTGATGTAATCTGCATGCGGAAGTACGCTGGTACGGTCAAACTGATGCTGATCGACCTCTGCACTTGCTCTCTGCACGAAAATCACCAAAGCAAGCAGAACTACCTTAGTGGCGGGAACTTTCGTAGCCATTTCAGGCCCGTCTATTCAATGCTGTAAGCGAACTGCGTGACGTCAACACCGGCATATAGGAGACGACAGAACGCTTGCGCAGGAAATGTCCCCTCGGTGCGCATGCGCAGCGTGGGTTACTGCAACGTCTGTCTGTCTGTTACTGCCACCACGCGAAAGTTATCGGCCAGGATTCAGTGCTACACTGCATGATTAATTAATAAAACAACTGCGTGTATCGACTCCCGCATGCTATCTACTACTGTAGCTAGCCCGTGTCAGACTCTCCGCGAGCTACTAGCGGGAGACAACGAGTTAATGAATACTAATAGTCCAGCCCGTCAATTTTAGCAGTACCGCGCATGCGCAGTTCGCAGAGGGCTTGCACACTTCAGTGCTTTTCATTTAGCAGGAACAATGGTGCGACCGCAAATCGCAACTCTCGCTAGCAGTCTAGCTCTCTTTGTCGCTCTTATCGGAGTTCGTGGAATGAGCACAGAGAACCTCCAGCACACCAGCAACAGCCAACCAGGAAGAGATGGTTCTTTTCCTGACGTTTTTATCAACAGCTGGGCAGTAAAGATTCGCGGTGGACTGGATGATGCAGATGCTCTAGCCAGCCGTTACGGATTCCACAATCTTGGTTTGGTGAAGGAAAAACCGTGTCATTCTCTGAGCTATATAGATGGACGGCTACACCTTACTTTTTTGCAGGTCCAAGGATTCGATGACGTGTATCAGTTCAGGCTAGGTGGGCGAGAGATGCAAAAAGTTAGGTCTGACTCTCCATACACCTCCAGTATTGCATCGGACAAACTTGTAAGTGCAATGCATGTAGCTTAGCTGGTTTAGAGTTCCGTTGTGGTGCTCAGGTTGAGTTTGCTGAACAGCAGTTTCGTCGGCAAGTTGTCACGAAATCTACTTGTGTTCCTCCTGAGGACTCTGCTTTTATGAAACAGTGGAACTTGGTAAACTTTTACCGGGCAGAAACTGCATAATGAGCATGCAATACCTGTTCATTGCAGTTAAACACTGGACAGTATAAGGGTATGTACAAAGGAAATGATTTGAGAGTGGTGCCTGCCTGGCTGCAGGGATATACTGGATGCAATGTTACAGTAACCGTTGTGGACGATGGTAATGATTATTGCTAAGCATTTTACATTAACGAACTATATAATGCAGGTATTGATTTCAAGCATCCTGCTCTATGGCCAAACTTTGTAAGTTAGGTACATATCAACCAATTTGATTGTGAATGATTTACACTTTGAGTACAGGCTCCTATGGTTTCCTATGACCATCATGATAACGATTCGGATCCTTCAACATACGATCATAAACACGGAACTAGTGTTAGTGGAATAGTTGGGGCAGCAAAAAATTCCACATGTGGCATCGGAATTGCGTATGAGTGCAATCTTGGAAGTAAGTGTGTATGTCAAATTTGGTATTCTGGCATCAATTTGATCAATCTTGAACCCGATAATTGCATATGTTTTTAGGTGTTAAACTTCTAAATGGTAAAGAAGGCAGGACTGACGTGGAAGAGGCCACTGCTCTCTCACATGAACAGAGTATCGTAGATATCTACAGCAACAGTTGGGGACCTCCTGACACAGGATATACTGTCATGGGGCCCAGGACTCTCACGAAACTTGCCCTAGAAAAAGGAATCGCTCAAGTAAGGTCACAGTAATGTTGAGCCGTTTTGCATTAACAAATTGCAGGGACGTAATGGAAAGGGTTCCATATACGTGTGGGCCAGTGGTAACGGAAGAGATGAAGATGACTGTGCTGCTGATGGCTATGTGTCCAGTATATACACCATTGCTGTTGGAGCTATTGCAGTTGATGGGAGGCCTAGTGGTATCGATGAGAGATGTTCGGGGAAGATGGTAGTGGCTTATGTGACCAATCCACAGAAACATTCTGCAATTGTAGGGTGTTATACTTTTTCACTATGAATTTTTTGATCAATTCTTATACCCATTACAGAGAACAACATGTCCAGGTGGAAAGTGTAGAGATGATTTTGGTGGAACCAGTGCAGCAGCTCCCCAGGTGTCTGGAGCCATTGCTCTAGCCCTCGAGGCAAAGTACATAATAATACAAGCACATTGCTTGGTTTACTTTGCACATATGGTACAGTTTTGACATGAGAGGAAGAGTATCCATGCTGTATAAACCTCAGTGGTTTTTATCAAGACTGTTGGTTGTCTTTGCTATTTCCAGGAATTTGCCTGTTGGTTACCATGACTTATTCATTGGTCCATTTCACCATTTCAGCCCAAGTCTGACATGGAGAGATGTCCAGTACCTGATAGTGTACACAGCTAATCCTCACCTGACTGCTGGTCCTCTGACACGGAATGGAGCTGGTCTGGCAGTGAGTCGTCAGTATGGGTTTGGAGTGATGGATGCTGAGGCCATGGTCACCAGAGCTAGACACTGGATCAATGTACCTCCTCAGAGGGAAGATATTGTTAATACAGTATCTCAGTGAGTAACCCTAATTAAAATAATTGTAACATATGGGTGAATTTACAGCTTATATACTAGTCCTATCCTCTCTAGGAATAATCCTTCAGTTAGTAAGCGAAGCGCACCTTATAGTCGTTTTAAGTAGTTGGTGAAAACTGAGGGGGTGCCAACACAGTGCCATACTTTGGTGGCAACAGCTCACCTATTAAAGAAATGAGTTTAGACCAAAACAAGTCATGTCAAAGATCTGGCAAAGGTTTACTAGAGGTTTACCTACGTGTTGCAACAGTGATGACAGACTGTCGCCAAATACTTTGACAAAACCAGCCGCCGAATACATTCCAAACTTACCTTATTAGATGCTGACATGA